TATCTCTGGTATATGTCCTAATTACTAAAGACTTGCATTTGATCAAATAATGGAATTTCTTTTCCTCAGTTCTACAATGAAAGAATGGTACTCTGAATTTACTTTAAACCATAAAAAAATAGTTATTCTCAGTATTTAAGAAAAATAATCATCTTTCATGAAGATGTTCTATTTCAAAAATTTAGGTAATCTCATATAAGCAGATATGGCTTCATCAAAATTTTAAACTCTAGCCATGTACTTTAGTGAGAGTTATCTTATTAACATTTAAATATCTAAATAAATTTAACTTTTAGCTATATCGTTGATGAAAATAATATAAACTTTCTGAAAGGCAGCAATCTAAAAACAGAATTCAGAGTCATATCTTGATTTTGCCACATACTAGCCACATGATCTTGAACAAATTATCTAACTTGCTGTGCCTCAATTACGTCATACACATGATAGTGATAGATTTGTTGCAGTCGATTCAATGGGACAATACATGTACTTACAATAGTATGTAACCACTCAATAAGTGTTTGCTATTAATACTATGTTGTTGAAAATGCACACTATCACACAACTGAAAATTAATCCAACGATTACAATATCTGATTTCTAAAGAGACAGTATCACTTTTAGAGTTCTATGGAGGCTACGGCTTTGTCTTTATGCGCTTTTCTTATAGTTTTAAGCTCTCTTACTAAACATTCCTAAAGAATATCAAGGAACCATGTAGAAATAAAAATGTGCAGACATTTGAAATCAGGTGATTTTTGCTGTGTGTGCGCGTGTGTGTGCATGCACGTATGCACACTTTACATTTATGTGTGACTGATAAGACAATGGGAGCTCAGTAGTTTAATGCCCTCATGCTTTCAAAACTGATTAGGTCCTCCAGCTTGTCTCCAGGCTTTGAACTTTCTGCATTACCGAACCCTAAAAATCTACTGAAATGTAATATTGCATAATGGAAAACAAGAAGAAGTCAACAAACTCAGAGTTGCATCTAAGCTCTCAGAGCTGACACACATGTTCATTCACACATTCTACAAATACTTATTGAGTGCTTACTATGTTTTAGGCACTGTGCTAGGTCATGGGCACACAACAGTGAACAAAACAGACCAAACTTCCTGTCACCACGGTGCTTGTACCTTAGTCAGTTTTTTGATTTGTTAAAATGAGTAATCATTCTTACCTCTTGGAGTTCTAATGAGATATAATAAGTTAATGTAGGAAAAATGACTGCAAAATGCAAGGCTCTTGGTAATTATCAATTATTCTTTTAAATTAATTATTCTTTGGCTTTCTAAGATGAAAATAAAAATACATCCAAAAAACAGTGCAGTGTTAATGGGAACTAATGTGTCTATTAGAAAAAAAACAAACTTATTTTTTGCTTCCTTTGTGGTTATTATGCATTTGAAATAATGATAATATAAAAACAAGAAAACAAAATTAATGTCTTTAAAGGCAATGGGGCAAGATGGATGGCTCGGTTATTTTTCCTTTTTAGCAGGAACACCTAGTGTCATCTTGAGTCATAATTTTGGCAAATTCATAAATCTGTGAATCAGATAGCTGTGACTTGTTATAGCTAACAACAATATTCCTGATTTTAACAAGAGATATCATTAAACTTCTCAGGAGTATGGTGTTATTTTATTCATTTCTGCAATTACATACAGTAATCAGCCCTCTGCCATGTATACGATAAACATTACATTAATTCTAACTGAAAAGAATAAATTGCATTTATAAAAAAGGACTACTTTCTTGATTTGCAACATTTGTTGCATTTTTATATTTTAGATAAGTACTGTACAAACTTTACAGGAGAAAAAAAAAAAAGTTGGTAGTTCCAAAAATTAAGACTGAAGTTCTTCAGATAATGGCAATTTAGGCAATTATATATCATTTTATATTGACAGATGAAATTTTGGTCTCTCAGTCAATACTGTAGTCTTACAACAGTCATTTTCAAACTATGATTTTGGAGCACTAGGGTTCTTCCTACGTTTGAAGGGAGTAAGGGGCAGTCTGAGTAAAGTGGGATGCCAATCTCCTTTCCCGCCCTCATTACACTAGCATTCTAGCTTTGATCCTTTTCTATTCTGAGTTTCTAACAGAATTTATTTGAAATCTTATTTTCTTTAAAATCAAGTTTAAAAACATTGTCTTAGGCAATTACCAAAACAATTTAAGAATTAAAGTATATTGTAAAAAACAATTTAAGTTACATAATTTAGTCACTACTTTTAAAATTTTTAAATTTAAAAGAGAATACATACGATAAGATATATCTTTAATTTACAAGAGGGCTACATTTAATGCTATGTCATGCAAAATCTACAGGTGACAAAAAAAGAAGATATCTTTAGATTGAATCGGGAAAGTTTTTTAGCAGGTGTTCCATTTAGAACCAACACATTACTTAACAGAGAGCATGGTAATTATGAAAATTATTTTTAGTAGGAGAAGTTGCTGAAACTATCCACATATCAAAATTTGAAACATCTCAGATTGAACCCCGCTTCAACTTGGAGCTCAAGTTTTACAGTATGGAGAATGCAAAAATATGATTTTCACAATAGGGGGAAAACATGATAAACTAAACTTTGAGGACATATTTTACCTTATATTATATCACATTACATAGGTCAAATCATTCTCTCATCTTTATTGACTAAATTATCAGGAATCACCTGCGATGACATAGCAGGGGGGTGCTATTAGAAAAATAAAGATGAATATGACATATTGCCATCTAGTTCTATAATATATATATGGTATGGATTTTTACATAACAGAGTAAGTGTTCTTTTGTGATAGGTGGAGTTAAGGGAAACTTCTGAGAAGAATAAATATTTGAACTTCGTCTTGAGGGATGAGTGACATGATGTGGAATTAAAATTAGAATAGGGATCCAGGTAGAATTTACTGAATGTCCAGAGAAGGAGAAGTGTGAAAAACTTGTTGGGTTCAGATAATTTTGGATAATTTGATTAAATTGGACTGTAGAGAAAAAGAAAAACAGTGTGAAGAAAGCCGGAAGATAAGATTTATGGAGGTTTTGGACTTTATCTCTAGGCAAAGAAAAGTTATGGAAACATTTAAAATAAGATCGTAATATGATTGCCTCTTCGCTGATAGGAGATCACCATTAGCGGTGAGTAAGATAGACTTGAAGAGGGAAGACTGAAGGGAGGGAGAAGAATAAGGGCATTATTCATTAAGAATCTCCTGGCTTAGTTTCAAATATCTCTTCTTTGTAGATATTTGTGTATAAATAGTTGAGTATATTTTTCTCTGTCACTATATTATGATCTTCCTGAGAGAGAGAATATTTGGCTGTCCTTTCTATATTCAACAACTCATTCAGTAGCTGGCACCTAAGCAGATCCTTAGGAAATACTGTTGAATTACTCTTGTTGAAAACTGAGCAGAAAGAAAACAAAATAATGCTAACATTTTTGCTACTTTACAATGTACTTCCAGCTCTTGAACTGCACTGGAGTGAAGAGCTCTGTAAATATCGAGAGAACGCTCCTGCTGCTCCAACCTGTCCGTGAGCTTTAATAACCTTGTTCTTGTTGAAGCATTGTCATTAATGATTAATACAGTTTCTAAGGTTTAAATGGCTACAGATTTTCTGACAGGTGACCTCCCTAGGGTGAAGAAAATAATAAAGCCAAGAGGAATATAAGGATGCCAGATTCAATTAGCCATTTTAAGAGGGGAAATAACAACAACGAAAAAAATAACAAAAAAGATACTTTTAACATAAACTGAAGATTATTTAAATTTTCTAACACTTTTATTTACTAGGGATAGATGTGAATTTAAAATGGAGGAGAAATATATGTTCAATTACAATCTGGCTAACCTTTCTACTTTTTTAAACTGACATTTATACAGATTTTGTGAACTATTCAATTAATATAGTACCAAATTTAGTTGCAAGTTAAAAACACAGAATGCATGCATCTTGTCTCCCTGACAACATCACGCATTCATTTCCATGAGTCCAGATACAAAGGCATGGCAGGCCAATGTTAGAAAAAGAAAACTCTGATAGAAATTATTATTATGCAAGTAAGAGAATTTTGTACAGCTATCGTTTAATTGATAAGCTAGATAATAATGACTTTTCCACAATAGAAATAATAAATTCAAGCAACATAATGTTCTGATGGTCTATTTTACATTTTCATCTTTTAGAGCATGGATTTTAATTGAATTTAACATTTACATATTTTTTTCAGTCAATTCCAAATTAGAATTTCTAATATGTACATTGTGAGTATATATCCATTGTTTCTAACTTTAATCAAGGTTCATCATATGTCAAAGTTATTCATGATTTCACAATGCTTTCATCTATCTCTTACAAATGAAAATAGAACAAAGGAGATTGTTATACACATGTAATAATCATTAATCTGTATCATTCCAGCGCTGGAATGGGTGCAGCAATTTCACACATTTGTGGTCTATGAGTCAAATAGAGGTTGATAATATGAACACTAAGACCGCGTATTTGATCTGAGACGATCACTAATAGATTACCCAAAAAAACAACAACAACAAAAAAAAAACAGGTATCCTGAAACCTTTGAGAAATTAAGTACTTTACTTCTTAGTTAAGTATTTAATAATTACTTATACATTTTCTTTCCAGGCAAACTGTATAAAGTATATAAAATTACACTATCTACTCTGCGAAAGGCCAGGAGTCCAGAGTGACTAAAGCATAGAGATATTATAGTAAACTGGAGGAAGAATGAGTTAGGCAAACAGACACATTAATGAAAAAAAAAAAAAAAACTTATGTAAAGAAAAATAAAATAAACATTTGTAGTTAAAGAAGAGCGCTTTTTTTTTTTTTCCAGTGTATTCCTGCTTGTACTCTAGGAAACTTTTATTTTGTAGATGCAATCAAACTAGCGTTTACAAGTATTCTCTGGTGATATCAAGATAACATATTTCCCATAGTAGCAATTCATCATTACCTTTGTAGTTAACCTTGAAGCCAACAGATCCGACACTTTCATCTGTTTGAAGGTGCAGCCACATTTGGCTGCTCATACTCACTATCAAGTCTGGCACAAAGCTTCCAGTCAGCCTAAGAGAGATGGACCAATAAGAAAGAAATGGGTTATTAAAACATTCTCTGAAGGCAAATAATGAGACATGTGTTTCTCAATACCTCCTTGACTAGAAAAAAAGCAACTATCACATAAACTTACAAGACTATGTGTTGATGTAACGGAACAAACAACGTAATTTAGTGATCAAGGTTTATTATAAACAAGTATCATTTTATGTGTTTAACTAGGTTAGATCTTTCATATCCCTGAGGCAGCATACAAAAATTTCAACCATCAGAGAATCTTATACTTCTTTTGAACTGAAAAAAAAAGGATCTATAAGTTTTTTTTAAAAACACCAGGAATGTGCTTCATTTTAACCTTTCAAGTTTCACAGAACTCTGTTCTAAAGAAATATTGTGAAAAAAATATTTAAGCACTATGCAAAACAATGAAATGGTAGGGAATATAATGTAACCCTTTCTAATACTCATGTCAGGCTAGCTAGATCCTATATGTTTTACTGTAAATGTTTTTATTTTATTTTTATTTTTAAAGAACATGCTTCTAATTTAATGTGGCATCACTGAATCTATGTATTAAAAATCTCATTCAGGAAGACTCAATTTTATAATCCAACAAGGGAAATTACTTCATGTTTCCTCTGTCATTAATAATGTTGTAGTCACATACTTGAACCAAAGTCAAGGGTCATGTAACAGAGGAAAGCAAATGAGTAAAAAAGATCTTGGGGCGGAAAGTTGGTCAAGAACAGAAGGAGGAAAAAAATGGACTTTACATAAGTTTCTTTTAATAATAAAAAGTATACCTATTCTAAGAGCATTAGTCTCTTGGATGGAAGTTATACTAGAATTAGCCCAGCAGAGGGCAGCTTGGATGACCACATCCTTGAAGTGACTAAGCAAGGCAGCAAAATGCCTTGCTTAGCCAGTCACCAAAACTGTAAAGCATCATCAGTGGACTGCCTGAGCAAGACAGCTATGTCACCGGTGTCCAGGGTCACAGAATGTACTGAAATCTTTTGCAAAGAAACCCAGTTAAATATTATGATTTAATTATGAGATTACGCATGATATCGAGGAATACTGTGACCATTATGATAGGAAGATACTATAGAATTTTCTTTTATTTTCATGTTTTCTTCCCAAAGAAAATTTAAAATTATTATAATATAAAAGATACATACGCAAACATTCTCTTTTGTAATACGTATGTATACCTGTATGCTTGTATATACACATATACTATCATTTGAAAACATCTTGTAATTAAACATGGGGCATGAAAATCTTTAATTATCAATTGGTGAGTCCATAAGTACTAGTTTTTTGAACTACAGTAGAGAAACAAATTTATGTGTAAGAGTGAGGACTCAAGTTAGAGACAAAAAGTAAAATAAACCAATTATGAAATGAGCATGAGAGCTTAAAAAATAAGATGTCCATAAGATACACTATATTAAATACGCCAGCGATCAATCTCACAGTGAATATTAAAAGATGTTATCATGGGAAGATTTAGTTATTGTTTTTTATTACATCTTTATATACTCATCTCAGTCAGAACTTTTACCAGCCCTAAACCTCCAGCACGGTAATTTTGTTATTTCATAAAGAACGGTTAACACATACATTCTAAACTGTCCCCTTGTTAACTTATTCTCTTACTGGCTGTGATTCTGTCTAGTGCACAACTCATTTTTGGTGTAAAGGTAAATGTATATCTAAAAAATAATAATAATTAAAAATTTTCCTGATGTTAGGAGAAAGAAAAATTCTCTAACATTTCCTTTAGAAAACTTGAAATTATGAATTATATGTTTCTTTCAAATATATGCAAGCATTTTTAGCTAAATAAGCCTTTTGCCAATTTTTCATGCCATTAATAATTTTTTTTTGGAAGCCTTGGGGCCATTTCTTTGAAATGTGACCATCTAGGAAGATGTCATTCTGTCCTCCTGTTTCTGTGGGAGTTTCAACCTAGACACATACCAGGTCATAACTTCCTGCTTGTCATAAAAATAGAAGTTTTATTTCTCCTTTTGATAAGGGCAGTTCGCATGTATGTAATGGATTTTATCTGCCTTACTATATAGAAAGGTGATATTTACTTCTCTTTGCGATCTTCTTAGCAGATTGTCTGTGATGCACATCGGAGTCTGGTTTTACACTTGTTTGATTTTAAAACCATTTCATTATTTTCTACATTTTGTGGAGAGAGTTAACTGGGTTGGCAGAAGATTTTATTTTGAATTACATTTCCCAACAATTTGGTGATGAGAATGGGAGACAAATGGCAGTTCTTGAATTAGGTCAACCAACTGAAGGCCCGTGGTCATGTAACAATCATAAAATGCCTTACTACAAAAAATTTTGATAATTTTGGGGTGACTAGTAGGATATTACAGACAACAGATTCCAACGTTTGCAGAATGGGGAAAATCTCTGATGGAGCGACTGCATGATAATTGCTCAGACCTTCTTCTTAAGTCTGTAGAAACTGAAGAGGTTTTTGACCAAAATTGGTCTCAGCTTTGTGAATTCTGAATTTTGAAAAACCTTATTTCATCATGAAAATAAAGGTGCTATTTTTGGAATTTTATCTCAAAAGTTGAGATTAGCCCATACATCAATAATATATTTACAAGTTCTTCTGGAGGCCACAGCACTGTGAATACTGGGATGTTGTGACAGCAGCTGACCCCTTTAGAAAAGACTGAAACCCTTACCTTTAGTCACTTGACTTATTTGCATGTCCTTTGTATTTTGACAGCTATTTTACAAGTGCTAAAGATCCAGAATATGTGGATATGGCATCAAACAAGTTATGAATAAGCATTATTATTCACTCTAATATTGGGCTTGGGAAATGAAATCTCCTAAATCTTAGTCTTTGACCAGATCCTGATCAAATAGATGATCATTATTGTACAATGGTAAAGAAGAAGACAATAGGCTCTGACACGATTTATCTGATATTCTTGTTCATAGTGCAGATTTAATAATGTCTGCTGATAGGTCATATACTCGGGATAAAAATGTCCACCTTAAGGCTTTGTATGCTATGGTAGCTTATAATAAAATTTTGGAAGCTTATATTTTTCCTAGAACTAAGTTGGCACAAGAGTCTAGTCAACAACAGTAATAAGAGTTGCAATTCTTGTAAAGTTACAAGCAGCCTAGTCAACAGCAGTAAGAAGAGAATTGCAACATGTATATATAATACATGTTTGATGTCTGTCATATAACAGAGCCAATGTGAAAAAATAGAGGACTTTGAGGGGAAATAAAATATCATGGAAAATTGATAGTTGATTTGTGAGAGGCTGTGCACCTGCCTTAGATCAGTAATCTGTTTATAGAGCTCACACAGGGCCAGGATGAAAACTTTTAAAGGCAGTGATTTTGCTGATAGAGTTGCAAAAGCCACTGTTAAATGTGGCAGATTTCAAATTTAGAAGACTTACATTTACTACAACAAGTAATTTTTGTTATTTTCAAAAAATAGGCTTCACTAAAGAAAATTGAAAAAAGAGACTAAAATTTTACTGAACTACGGGAATAATCTAACAAAATCATTCCTATGCTACAGTCCTTATTTCTTGGTTAGTAATGCTGTGTTATCAAAATAATCTTTGGAGTAAAGGTGAGATTTTTAAAGGCACTAGACTCTAGCTATATGTACCTAAAAGATGGTGTTATTCAAAACATATTAAAGTAGTGAGCAATTTGTCAGCAAAAATCTTTACAGGACACTCACAAGGTATGTGTTGGCAGTCTTCCCCAACCAACTTTACTGGAAAATGGTGGCATTTGAATGTCATAGAATTAATGCCTGTGGAAAGCGAGAGATTTTGTCGAGTTATGGGGTATATACTGTCTGGATGGTCTGAAGTCTTTCCCTCTTCAGATGCGGAAGCTCAGGCTGTGGTAAGGTAAAGTCTCTTTAACACATATATTTTCCACTTTTAGGATACTGGAGCATAATGAATCAGAAAGAGGAAGTCACCTTATTTCTACTGTCATCCAGTAACTACACAAATGTTTGCAGATTCTCATAAGATGAATCGAACTCATTTGCTAAGATTCAACAATATACTAGATTAAAATGGCCTAGAACTTTACTGCTAACGTTGTTAAAAATTAGAGCAACTGCTGAAAGCAAGCATGATATTTTTCCCTTTGCATTTATATTTGACAAGCCTATGAATTTGGGTCAGAGATCATGTCCTGTGCCCCATTTAACTGAATCCTCTAATAAACATGTTTAATACTTCAAAGGGCTTCTTTCTTCCCTACAGGTCCTAAGACATAAAGTTATAAGGACCTTGAAGTACCCACCGGAAAAAGTCAGCCACCCCTATTGATTGGGACATTCAATCAATCTACCTAAATTTGTTCTAGAGGAAAGATGAGCTGTTCCTGTGCTGGAGGATCCTTTCAAGTGCTCCCGATCACCCATATAACTGTCACAGTGAAAGAAAAATCCAGGAAGACTCATGTTTTCCAAGGGAAGCCGGAACTGCAGAAGGGCTGGACAGTGGTTCCCAAAAAGTACTTGAAACTTAAATTTTCTGGAGCAATTGATAATGGCAATAAACTTAACTGAAAAAGGTATTTGAGTAAACTTATAATTCTAATGGACTGCCTTACTGTCTTATTCAGAGTAGTGTTTTTTCAATTACTTAACAATCACATTTTATTAGAAAACAAATGTTATTGGTAACACTGCTCTTTCTTTCTGTACTTCCAGTAATGTTTCCCACAATCACTATTTCTAAACAGCTCTAAATTGTATTCCCATTGGCCAAGACAGCCATAACATTCCCCTCAGCTTAGATAAACTTTGGAGGAACTTCTTCCTGACTGCAGGCTCTTGCCTTACCTTTTCTTAGAACATTGTTAGAAAACTTGCAATTTGAAATCTTTTCTCTGTCCTTAGAGATGTAAAATTTCTACAGCACAGGAATGTCTTTCTCAAGGACCTGGGAGCATCACTTTGAAATATAGTAATC